TTACCGCTAGGCCCGTTTAGTAGTTCGGGTAAAAGATACTTCCGCCGACTCTTCTAGAACACGTTTAGTCGAGATACTAAACGCGTCTCGTGCCGAGTCGTTTTGGTGTTACCCGGTGGGCCGAGTATATTGTCATGCTGGGCTAAGTTTCCCTCCTTTGATGGGCCTTGTGGAGGGGTATAACCCATCTCCTACAGTGGTGCAGGAAGAGGTCGTCTGAGCTGAGAAACTATCACAAGAACTATTGGGTTTTTTAGGGCATGAGGGGCTTATGCATAACGGAAAGATAGTTAAGCCTAATCTCAAGGAGAGGTTCAAGAGCTTTAATGCAACGTTTGATGAGATACATAAGGCGCAGACCACGTGGGTTGTTAATGACGAGCAGCTGCAGAGTGAGCTGAGAGTTTCTATAACTGCGGTTATGATACCTGCTTATAGGGCGTTCATGGCTAGGTTTGGACAGTACTTGGATCCTGGTCGGCAGACGGAGAAGTATGTTAAGTACCAGCCTGAGGATATTGAGGATCTTATCGACGAGCTTTTTGATGGAAACAACTCATCCTCTTCAGCTGCCACGGCTAGGCGAAGAACATAGACTCTTTCTTTCTTCTTTTTCTTTTGCAGCAACACCTTTTGTTAACTTTCATGTCTGCTTCTGCTGCGTCTTTTGTCTGAATGCCACAACTTAGATGACCCCATGTTAATGCAAAGAAACGATCGTGTAAATGTTAGTTATACTCAGTTCCATCATTTTAATGAATAAAAAGACATTTTATCTTTGTTAATGGTAAGTAATGTGAACTCAATGCAAAGACACAAGTCCCCTTTTATTAAGGAGTAAATCTAACTGAAGGGAGATAGTTTTGTATGTACTCCCCAAAATGAGTGACAAAAAATATGTTACCAAAAAACTATACAGCCTCTTCTACTACGTCCCTTCTCTGTTTGCAAGCAAAAAAAATATATTCCTAACATGATTTGATTCAGCTGTAATGATCTCACTTAGCAAAATGACCTTCTCTCTATGTTACCTGTCTTCCATTAAGACCTTGCATTGTCTATTGACAGAAAATAGTAAGTACATCGTTAGTTCTTTTGAGGACTCCTATGTACTCACATACTGGTGACCCAGCTGGTGTGAACTAGTCCCATCATCTAACTACCCAACCCTTCTTTGGAAAACGAAAGACCTGTCTGATGTAGCCACATACCAAGAAGACTATGTTATGCACATTCAGGCCAACCTTTCTATGATTAAGCCAAAATGCAGTTTTGTTATATATCAAGAACTTATAAGAACGAAGTAGCAATCGCAGTGCACATTCCTCTCATGGAAACTGGTAGTCAGTATACTCCTTGTAATGGAAAGAAAACAGTGAGATATTATGATATACCTTAAACTAACTTCAGATGGCAAGCCAGTGTGTGATCAGAATGTCATACTGAAACATTTACACTAAAAAAAAAAAACTTAAGGTTGGCTTGGAAGTAAAATGTGGGAAAAGAAACAACATTGTAAAAGCACAATCATCAAACCAACCTGGAAGGTCACCGATCCTTTTTCTAACACAATGTTGCATAAAATCTACAATAATTGAATAATAATTGAATGAATATCATCAAACAAACAAACTAACATCAAAGGTATTAAAACAGAGAAAATACTAATTACTTATCCCCTAGAAAAAAAAAACACAAGTCAACAGCTAGAGAGCAGAAACCATTGCTGGAGACGATTCAAAACCAGAAAGAAAGACCTGGAACATAAGGAGGGAGATACTGCTTGTTGAAATACCTCAGATTCTTTCCTCACTTTAAGGTAAGCGTACTCTTCCCATTCGCCTAAAAATCCAATTTTTCCTTTCCTTTCCTTTCTGCATTGTAATAAGGATTCGTTGGGGGCTCACAGGGACAGCTTCGCATCAGACTCAGTGTAATCGGCACAAAGCTCTGTACTTTCAAAGCGCCTAGAATAAAGCTGGTGAAGAAGACAAAGAGAGAGATAGTACTTTTAGGACAAAACTGAATCAAGGACGGGCCCACGTATAAAAAAAAAACCTTTTCATGTGTTAATCTCGTCTCTGTACATAGAAATATACAGAAGAACTTTTTGTTTTGTGCATATTTAGGCTTTTAGATATGGACTAGGAAAGAAAATGAGGATATACAGCAGCTACTTTTTTTTATTTGTCTTTTCACATTATCTCTCAAGTTAGTGAATGTTTAATTCTTTATTAATAGACCAGTTTTATGTTAATAAAAATATTTATAGCCATAAATTTAATTGACCAGCAAGGAAATGGAGAGGAAAATTATGTTAGAGATGTGAGAGGAGGAGGAACAAAAGAACTTCACCTCCGAGAAGAATGGTAAAGCCACAAATGAACAGCTTTGGTTTTTTAAAGAAAAAAAAACTATGAAGCTTCTTGTTTATTTTTCTGTTTCCTAGAAACTACAATTTCAAAGGCATCTACACAAGTTTTGTTAAATCAGAAAGAAACACAAAGATTAAGATGAAGGAGAAGAAAAAAGATGTAATCAGATTGGAGAGAGAAGCTGTGATCCCAATTCTAAAACACAAGCTCACCACTGCTTTGTCCCTTCACTTTGGTCTCTCCTTTTTTTCTACATTTCATTTCTTCTACATTTCTCTGTTTCTCCTCTTTACATTTTTTGTATAATCATTCTCCAGCAGAGAAATACGAGAGAGATGAGTTCCTGAGATTCTGCCAGAGAGTGGAATGCACTATTAGAGCTTGGTACCACCTTCACTTTGAGGATCTTATGGTATTATAAACATATCACCAATCCATCTCATCTTCATTGTCTTTCTTTTAAAAGTTATTGTTGTGTGTTTGTAGCAATTGTATTCACTCTTTGAGCCAGTCCGTGGCGCCCACAGGCTTCAACAACAGAATCTATCTCCTGATGAGATTGATGTTCTTGAACACCAATTTCTTCAACACTTATTCGAGGTTTTTATCTTTTGTTCAAATTCCATTTCCTAACTACAAACTTTAAACATAAGAAAAAAAAACATCAACAAGGTCATGGAGAAGAGCAACTTCAAAGTAATAACCAATGAAGAGATAGAAGTAGCCCTCTCTGCACAGTATCGTCTCAATCTTCCTATTGTAGTTAATGAAGCTAAGGTACGTACCAATACTATGACAATCTAGGGAAAATGAACATCTTTTTATTGTAGCTATATATATGGTGTAGCTTGATACAAAGTTGTTGACAAGATTCTTCTCCAAGTTTCCCCGCCATGACCTTCCTCATTTCGCTGATAAGGTAACTAACTAGTTTCTCATCATTTTTGTTATCATGAATCCAACACAATTGCTTTCTTATATAGAAGATCTGATACATGTATTATGTGCCTTTATAGTATATAATATTCAGACGTGGGTTTGGGATAGATCATATGAAAGCTTACTTCTTACTAGCCAAAGTGGATACAATCCTTATCCGTATTTGGAACTTTCTACTCACCATCACATGGTGAGAGCTTTCTAATATAACTAAAACATGCTATGAAACTACAAAAACTTATACTCAGACATCATCTATTGCAGTTTAAAAAGAATAATATATGGGAAGAAGGAAACAGGTTTGTCAGAACAAATTGATATTAGTATTGAAACAGAGAAAGATAGTTTATACATTGAAAGAATCCGCATAGAGAAGCTGAAGCTCAGGTTTCTTCTTAGACTATTTCTTTTCCATTTATCAAAGTTGTTACAAACTATAGTCACTTTTGTTTTTTGATCTCTGACTGATTCAGTCTCTCAAACTTGATGAGCAAGATAACCATACAAGAGCCTACATTTGAGAGAATCATTGTAGTATACAGGTAACAAAAGTAAGAGTAGTAGTAGTAGTGGGATACTTGTAGAGATGTGATTTTAATTCTCATCTTGTTTTTGTATTCACATATATATACAAATAGGAGAGTTTCAGGGAAGAGAGAAACAGAAAGGAACATATATGTGAAACACTTCAAAAGCATTCCAATGGCTGATATGGAAATAGTACTTGTGAGCATCCATTAACCAACAATTTGTGTGTTTAAGTGTCAAATTTACATTACTGATTGATTATAAATTTAACTGATTTCTCACAGCCAGAGAAGAAAAATCCAGGTCTTACACCTTTGGACTGGGTCAAGTTTCTTGTCTCTGCTGCCATTGGACTGGTCAGTTATGCTTAACATTATTATTCTAAATACTTAGTTAGATAATGAACAATGTGAACTCTGCTTGTAACAGGTCACAGTGGTAAGTTCAGTGAGCCTGAAAAAAACTGACATCAGAGTCATTGCTGCCATACTTAGCACGGTCGTGGCATACTGCGTTAAAACCTATTTCACGTAATCTAAACTCATTAATCAGACAACAATCCTCACTTTTTGTAAAAATAATCCTTTATTAGCTCTCTTTATCTCCCCCTGAATAAATGTAGGTTTCAGAGAAACTTAGTAGATTATCAAAGCCTTATTACAAGATCTGTATATGATAAGCAGCTAGACAGTGGAAGAGGAACTCTGCTTCACTTGTGTGATGAAGTCATCCAACAAGAGGTGCTAATTCATAACCCTTTTATGTTACATTCTTGTGTTTTTTTTTTCTAACAAAGCTGATTCAAATGCAGGTTAAAGAGGTCATCATTTCATTCTACATGCTGATAAAGCAAGATCATTCCACGAGCAAGGAAGAACTTGACATGCAATGTGAAACATTCATCAAAGAAGAGTTCAACGAAAGTTGTAACTTTGATGTGGATGATGCTGTCAAGAAGCTTGAGAAGCTTGGACTTGTCTCTCGTGTAAGCTGATGATCTTTGTCACCATATGTATGTTCAGTAAATAAACTAATATTTGGGGTTGGTCAGGATTCAGAAGACAAGTATAGATGCGTGAGTATGAAAGAAGCAAATGATATAATGGGAACAACAACAGAAGAGATGGTACTCAAGGCAAGAGGTGGTGGCGACTATGAAGATGAAGAGGTAGCAGATAATGAGCCTCAAATAACTCCTGAAGATGAACTCAACGCAAAGGAACAACGTTACCAATCTAAGTTAACCGAGTTTGAGACCTTGTGGATGTAAAAAAACAAGATTATATATCTATCAATCAAGACCCATAAGTACTAAAAGACAATTGAACCAAAAGGACCCATCAACAGCTAGCAAGTCCACATATTTCACATTTCACACTAAATGAATTCTTTCATAATTATTGCATTACAAAATATTAATAATAAGTTGAAATAAACATAAGACATGATGATGATGATGGAAAGTATGTGTAGGTAGACATAGCGGTCTGTTCAAACAGGAACACTGTGGAGGACTACTGTCTCCACGGTGAGACCAGGTCCAAAACCAAACAAGACACCCCACTCCAACCCTTCACCAGTCGTGGCCACACCATCCTCCACAGACTTCTTCCTCATCTCATCCAAGATGAAGAGTACGCACGCGCTAGACATGTTCCCATACTCACTCAACACGTGACGTGTGGCTCTCATCTTCTCTGGTTTAAGTGCTAGCTTCTTCTCAACGTCGTCAAGAATCGCTGGACCACCAGGGTGAGCTATCCAAAATAACGAGTTCCAGTCACTTATCCCCAACGGCTTAAACGCCTCGTCTAGACTCTTTTCAATGTTCTTGGAGATGAGTCCAGGGACGTCCTTGAGGAGATGGAAGGTGAGTCCCACTTCCCTCAAGTGTCCATCTATAGCACCATCCGAGTCTGGCAAGATAGTCTGAGCAGCAGACACCATCTCGAATATAGGCTTCTCTCCAGCAGAGACATCAGGGTCCGAACCAACAATGAGCGCGGCTGCACCGTCGCTGAAGAGAGCCTGTCCAACGAGAGAGTCAAGGTGAGTGTCGGAAGGGCCACGGAAGGTAACAGCTGTGATCTCTGAGCAGACTACGAGGACACGTGCGCCACGGTTGTTCTCAGCGAGGTCCTTGGCGAGACGGAGGACAGTGCCGCCGGCGAAGCAACCTTGTTGGTACATCATGAGACGCTTCACGGAAGGACGAAGGCCAAGGAGCTTGGTGAGCTGGTAGTCAGCGCCTGGCATGTCAACTCCAGAGGTGGTGCAGAAGACAACGTGTGTGATCTTTGACTTAGGTTGACCCCACTCCTTGATAGCCTTCACTGCCGCTTCTTTCCCTAGCCTAGGGACTTCAACAACCACTATGTCTTGTCTCACGTCGAGAGATGGAGCCATGTATGCGCACATGTTAGGATTCTCTTTCAAGAATTCTTCGGTCAAGTGCATGTGACGTTTCCTTATCGTTGACTTGTCGCCTGTGATAGTAACAATCATCAAGATGTTTAACTAACTATGTGAATCATGAGAAAAATAAAATAGGGATTGATTATTAAGACATCATACACATGCGCTTGAACTTCTCCTTGAGGTCGGTCATGTGCTCACTGTTGGTGATGCGGAAGTAGTAGTCAGGATACTCAGCTTGGATCACATGGTTAGCAGGGTTGGCTGTGCCTATGGCCAAGATTCCCGCCGGACCATCTGCTCTTTGTGCATTTCTGATCTCATCTAACGAAGACGGTGTACCCATCACCATATTAAGCAAAATAGGTTTTAACTCGAGTTTGCGTGATGTACAAGATATTTATGTATATTTAGAAAGTATGAAGGGGGAGAGTGAGAGATTATATAACAAGATGACAAAGGAGAGGAAAGAGTAAGAGAGAGTGTGGTAGGTTTGATGGACGGGCAGATGAAGCACAACGTGTATAGGAGTTAGCTCCCTTTTATGTGGTTCTCCTTCTTTGTTTCTTTCCCTTTTATTTCGTTACTTACCAAGAACATTGAATGGTTGGTTTTAATTTGATTTTTACATATATTCGCAACAACTAAGTCTTATTAATTTATATGTTCGTATTTATTGTGTTCGATGTATACATCACAAAGACATGTGTACAGCTAGCCAGCTACTAGAGGGGTTGGTTGCATGGTTTCTCCACCATACTTCCCCCACACGTGGATACTTAACTGAGTACTAATCTAATTTTCCTTCTTCATGTATGTATCTTTTAATCCTATAAACTTACTAACTAACTAATTAGAGCTAACATAAGGCACGTGCCGGACGTCTTGTTTTCTCATTTCCAACAACTCAAAGATGCGTTTGTTTTTCTTCTTCTTTTTTAGGAAAACATTGATTTTGTTTTATGATTCGCTGTTTTATCGACCACAAACAATAGTTGTGGACTTGTAGGAAATAGTACATAATGATTACGGGATTCATGTTTTGGAATAAATAATAGTTAGCGGCCCATAATCAAAAGTGGACCCTAGAACTTGACTCGTTCTGCTGACTGTATGGATTATGAACCATATATTGGGAGGGGCCCATTATAAGCAAGAAATCACGAGAACCGAGTGTGTATTTCTTAATGAAAAAATAGCCATTAAAATTCTGGATTTTCAAATTAAATTCAAAAATAATTTCAATGTTTGAGCTACAAAAATATTTAACTTTCAAATATCAACTATTTTAACTCTCATATTTTGTTGACTCGGCCATTTAAAAGATCTGTGTAGTCAACACATAAACGCGATTATAAAAATAGATGTATGTTAACTCTCTAAAAAAATCGTTTTAGAAAATCAGTCAAACAGTGTTATTTTGCTTTTTTAAACACTTAAAGTATATTTTTCCCGAAACTAGAGTCCAAAATTGATTTCATTTTTCTTACTCGAAATGAAGAAGATGAAATCGATTTGGAATTCTGAATTCATGAATAAAATACTTTAAATGTGTACAAAAGAAAAAAGACGTTGTTTTATTAATGTTTAATCAGTTTTAAAACTATATCATTTAAAGAATTAATATACATCTGTTTTTGTAATCAAATTTAACAGTTGACTATTGAGATTAAATAGTCAAATCAACAATATATGAAAGTTAAGACAAACAATACTTAAAAATTAAAGAGTTTTTTGGCTTAAATATTTTGTTGGATTTAGTTTGAAAATTATAGTCATTTTCCCATTTTTAGTAGTATGCACTCCAAAGCGCGTGTTTGACCCGCACCCTGTATGGGGTGAGATAACTTTGACTTTGATCTAGCGATAATTTAGTGTATTAATTTGTTTAATTGAAAAAATAGATAGTATATGTGAATCGGTAATAAAAAGCATATAGTCATATAAAATAAATTATTAAATAAATATGAACGAAGCATAGCTGCAAAAGTATTGTGTTTGACTGTTTGAATTATAGTTATCTGATAATACAAAACAAAAGAAATAGACTATTAAAAACAAACAGTAAAAATTATATAAAAATAAATAATAGAAAAATAAAACCTATAAAATAAAACATGATCTAATGAGAAAAAAAAATTATATTAAAACAAAATAAGTAATAGAAAAATAAAATATGATGTAATGAGAAAATTGTCTTCAAAACTCTTGGTTTGCAATCCTACATATATAAAAAATAACAATTAATAAGTTTACCAAACAACACACACACTCTTTTAAAATTTTAAACTCATTGAAATTATATACTTCTTTATGAACTCATCAAGTTTTAGAACATCATCAGCTTCAAAAATGATTTTTGAAAACCCATCAATGTTTGAGATATTCTTCAATTTTCCTTATCATGATTAAACAAAAACATATCAGCAATCATCTAATGTGATATACTTCTACCTTGCTTTCTTCTTTGTGCAGGGTTATTGACTACTCCATCTTCTTTTCCTGCTTTTTTCTTCTTTGAATCCATATTCAAATGCTAATTTTAGTAGGGTAAGCCGAGTATTAGATCTAAATGCATAATATTTATTGGTCACTTGATGAAATCCTTTTGAATTGGGACTGCGCCTTTCTAGCAGTTTTGATAGCCCTAATTAAGCTACATTTTCCCGTCAATCACTCTACTGAAATTTGCTTTCTCTATAATCTTAACTAGATTTCGACCCGCGTTTTTCAAGCGCAGAAATTTTTATGATTAAAAATTTATATAATTGGGTTTTGTCTTAATTTAAAGAATGTTTTGGTATAAAATCAATTCACCAAAATTTGTGGTGATGATTGTTTTTCATTAGTTTTTAGTTTCAGTTTTTATTTTTAGATTTTTTTTAGATTTTGGTTTTTGGTTTTTAGTTTTTAAGTTTACATTTTTGATTATCAGCTTTTAGATTTTAGTTTTAAATTCTTAGACCCACTGAGTTAGTTTATTACCAACAAAAAAAATCCCAAATGAACATTCAATTTAAAACGGAAAAGATGACAAAAAAATTTAAATTTTTTTTGCAATAGTTTAATTTGTAAATAAAAAAAAAGCAAAAAATATAACCTACGTTTTCAGCTTTTGGTTTTAGATTTTGGTATTTAGATTTGGTTTTTGGTTTTGCTTTACATTTTTTTAAATCAGTCAATTGTTTAAGAAAAATAAAAAAAATAAATTATTTAAAAGTTACCCTTCAAATTTATCAAAACAAAATGATTTTTATTTAAAACAAAAATACATTAACATGTTTTAAAGTACATGATTTAAATAAATGATTAACAATAGAAAACTTTGTTTTGTTAAAAATATTAAATACCTTTTGGGTTTGAAAGTAATAGTTGATTTTTTGATCCATTAAGGTGGAAAGTTTATTCAATGGTTTTTGAAGCTTTTCTTTAATATTAAGCCCAAAAACTAAACAATATAATATGTTCTAAAAACAAAAGTAAGCCCAAAACTATATCCCATAAATAACTACCGGTTTAATTTAAGTAATGTGTTTCAATTAACTATGGTTTATATTATTTGTAACACTCTAGAAATGGTCCAAATTTAAATGACAACTTGTATTAGTAAGATAAAAAGAAGGATTCTATTTTAATAGAGTACTAGATTTTGACCCGCGCTTGAAAGCGCGGAAATTGTTTTTGATTAATATTATATGATTAGGTTTTGTCTTTATTTAAAATATGTTTTGGTATAAAATCAGTAATCCAAAATTTGTGGTGATGATTGTTTTGCATTAGTTTTTAGTTTCAGTTTTTATTTTTAGATTTGGTTTTAGATTTTGGTTTTTGGTTTTTGGTTTTTAATTTTTAAGTTTCTAATTTTGATTTTCAGCTTTTGGTTTGGATTTTTAGTTTTTAGAACCGCTGAATTAGTTTGAACTCATAATTACCAACAAACAAATCCCAATGAATCGAACATCTAATTTAAAACTGAAAAGATGGCAATTTTTATTTAAAAAATTGCAATAGTTTATTTTGTAAATAAACAAAACAAAAGCAAAAATATAACATGCGTTTTCAGCTTTTGGTTTTGGATTTTAATTTTTAGATTTGGTTTTTAGTTTTGCTTTACATTTATTTTTTTAAATCAGTAAATTATTTAAGAAAATAAAAAAATAAACTATTATAAAAGTTACCATTGAAATTTATCAAGACAGAGTGATTGTTATTTAAAATAAAAAAATATTAACATGTTTTAAAGTACATGACTTAAATAAGTGATTAATAATATATAATTTTGTTTTGTTAAAATATTAAATACTTTTGGGCCTTAAAATAGTAATTGATTTTTTGATCCATTAATGTAGAACATTTATTCAATGTTTTTTTGGAGTTTTTTTTTAATACTAAGCCCAAAACCCAAACTATATAATTTGTCATAAATACAAAAGTAAGCCTAAAACTCTATTCCATAAATAACTGCCGGCTTAATTTAAGTAATGCGGTTCAATCAACTATATGACTTGTATTATTTGTAACACTCTATAAAGGGTCCAAATTTAAATGACAACTTATATCAATAGATAAAAAGAATGACTCTATTTTAATAGATTAGATATTTTTTTATGGGAAGTTAAATTAAATGTTATATTTCTAAATATAGAAACATATATTCCATCATTTATTCCTTCGGAATAGGTATATTAAAAATAGATACATGAGAGTATTTTTTATAATATGATATTTGTGGATTTTCAAGATTAGAAGACAAAACTGAAGTGAGGGTAAGTACCAAATTTTATAAACAGACATTACTGATTAAAATTTTATAACTCATGACCACATATCAATATTTATAAAATAATATTTTTTTTGTAACTTATAAGAAACTTAATAACATTAGATGTATACAATAGAAATTAAAAAATATTCTAAATAATCTTAACCCTAAACATTCATTTTCCTTATGTATCTTATTATGGATAGATTATATTGTATAAATATAAAAATAAATTAAAAATCAGAATAAAAATAAATATATTCAGCCTTTAAGAAATTTTAGTGGTATTAAGGTTGAGTTAAAGTTTATAGATAATGTAAATAAAAAATTTCAACAGAATAAATTATATAGGAATGAGTAAACATCTCAGAAGTACAAATTAATAAAAATTTATTTCATCAAAGATATTTTAGTATATGTTTTTACATTACTTTGTAATAATCTGAAAAGTAGAGTGATATGAATAAAATATATTAATTAAATATAAGATATATATTAGTATATTCTTAGTGTTATGTTTTAAAGATATGATTATTTTTAGCATCAAAACTGTTTTTTTGTGAACTTTCCTTTTGATGAAATTAGATTATATATCAAATATATTTTCATTCTCATATTTTCATAAAATATGTTTTCTTTCCTTTTTAAAATATATTTTAGTTTTTAGTATATGAATATTTCCTTTTTAATATATTTGTTATCTGGAAATATATAAAAAAATAAAAACTAAAATTTAAAATTTAATTGACACAGATTATTAATATTTTTATAATGATTATTATATATAATAATTTAATTCATTAAAAATATCAATGTAACCATCATAAAAATTAATATGATTGTAACATGTAGGAAACTAACTTTTCAAATGATATTATAAAGATTTAACATAATTACTACACAATCAACTATATTAAATCTAAAGGTACAATCCACCTAAAAGCTATCTTATAAGTAGGGACCAATGTGACGTTATATAGAGTCATATTGGTTCATAACAATATATTTATCTTCTACTAATTATTCTTTAAGTGTTTAGTGGTCCTTTTTGTATTTAGGTTAATATTTCTATAGTTTTTGCTTTGAAAAAGTATTTCTAATTAGGTAGTGTATTTTTACATCTTCGGTTTACTTATCTGATCTTCTTTTGTTAGGCTTTCCGGCTGTGTTAGATTTGGGAGATTACTACCCATCAAAATATACCTTCGACGTAACATTGCATGGGTTGATTACTGCCTATCAAAATATACATCCCACTCCTTTTAAAAATTCCCTAGGTCGCTTAAACATGTGGCCTACACTAGAATTAACAAGAAAATTGGTAGGCTTGTATGTAGAATCTTTAGAATAGTAGATAATTAATCGATGACACTAAACTTGTCCCATACAACTTTCATTAGATGAGCCAAAAGAAGACTTCTTTTGTTTCTTCTTTTACCTTTTTGATGTGGTTGAAATTAAGAATCTATTTAGTGCGCTCATCACATGGTCGCTTGATTAAAAAATAGTTAGATTTGAATAAGCCAAAAGATAATTGTGTAGGTGATAATTAGAAAAGGGGTTAATTATGTTAAGCGTCCAAGAGAATGCCTTTCCACGTTGGGCGCACATGCATTATCTTGTCTTCTTTCTTTCTTTCTTTTCTACACAGATAAATAATTGATCATCAAATTAGTTGCATCACGAAGTAGTTCGACATTATGACTTGAGTAAGAAAAATAAAGAACCATAGACTGAGTAGAGCACCCTTCCATTTCCATAGAACTGATATAATATTGCAATATGCGATGCGTATATCTCCATTTGCTCAATGAAATTACATACAACGGTCTATAACTGTTTAATAAATGCTGGACTCAATATGTTACGGCAGTGAGGAGTGCGAAAAAGGGTTAATTAGGGTTCTTGACCTAAACCCTAATAAATTGGTATTCTTATAAACATATTGTCCATTACCTACGTTCTACTAGTATTTGTTTTTACATGTGCTAATAGTCCATAGTAACCATGAGAACGCAGTATTAGTTTTTGTAAGGAAAGCTAGAAAAAGAATAGGAGAATAAAATCAAGAATGAACGTAAAGTGTAAACAAAATTCAATGCACCAAAGCTAAAAGATTTGAAGTAGAATATTAAAGCTAAACAAGAAGAATGAGAGTTGGTCAAAAGGAAAGGGACACAAAATTATAGGACTTGTTTTCTCCAATGAAATTAAGATTAAATATGAAATTCAAAAGCATAAAAGATTGCTCACATGCAACCCAAATTCCTTTGCTCTCAATAATACATGGTTATAGAGTATTTTATTAACCAATATACAACAAACGATTTCGAATGGAGTATTTTGGTCAGAATATATATTAAGAAACCGAATTTAGGAGGAGACTATAAAATAACCAAACGGACAAACATGAATGTTTTAAAACAAAACAAACAAGTAAATGACAAAGAGATAGATAAATAGATGCATTGGGATTAGAAAATGGAAGATGAAAAAGGATGTGTCAATATTCATTGAAGTTACAACCTATAAAATTGGGAGCACATGCGATTACCATTGAGATTATTGTACATGTAGACAAATGGGAGAGGGAGTATACTAAAAACGATTAAGAATACGCATTATACGATCCAGTATCACCGTCCTAACGTTGGTCGTGTAGCCAAACTTTAATATGGTCTTTGGTCTTTCTCTGACACAAAACAAGATCGTCGTAACTACCACTTGCTTCCTTTATATTCTCATTATCAAAGATCATAATCTGTTTCTCTAAGACTTCAGCTATTTTAATTTGTACTGGTCAACAGTCAAAAGACTCAAAACCCGAGACTGAGTGATTAGTTTTATAACAAGATTAATCCACATATAATTAGATGCTCAAGTAATGACTTAATGATCCCCATAACTAAGTCGACTACCTTCCATCATGCGGCCATCATTATGATCAAAATACCAAACTCATTGTTTTTATGTATTGTATGATTGATAAGAGGGAAACTCTTTACGTTTCACATATGAAACATTGTAGCTTTTGCTTCTTTTTTTTCTTTGGGTGTGTATGATTAAAATTGCAGTTCATGCACATTCCATCATCATTTAACTTGGACTGTCACATGCAAAATTGTTTGGACTCGTTCTACAAAATATATTCTCCGAATTTAATAATTTATCACTTTATCTACTACATTATTTATCTCTGATTCTTGTTTATCTATCAACTGCGAGATCATATTATTAGACATGGGACATTGTTATCTAAGGTAACATGCTAATCATGCCTCTATTATCATTCCTCATCATTAATTTCAGCTTATTATCGTTGACGAATGATGAGTACATATACGTGTATCTAATTATCCATATTGCTAGCTGATTGTTATTAGTCTTTAATTTTAATGATTCTCCTTGTTATTATGTTCACTATCATTTATCAAAAAATAAAACTCATTCGTATTTAAAATTATTGAGTAATATACTAGTGTAGCTATGATCAAAGTCAATCTGATCTAAGCCTTAGATTTGAGCAGAACCATTTATGAAACACACACGTGAAGAACCCTTGAGAAATGCGTGAAACATGCTACCATGGCAAAATTATTTGATAATTATATATTTTTGATTGACTGATAATTGATATATCATGGGCCAGAATTAACTCAATGAAGTGCCATTTTTAATTAATGTTCATACTGGAATAAAGATTGAACAAAATAAAAAAAGTTACAGAAAATGAAAAAGATGGCGAAAAGGAAATGTGCAGCTCTTATATAAAAGGGTTGTGCAGAAGGGTTCCTTTCCAAGACCAACACACATTCCTTCTCTCTCTTTTCATTTCCATCAACTAGAGAAAAGAATATAAACCTAACACAAATTTGATTTTTGTATGCATAAGGTACTATAGAGAAAAAGAAAAAGAGAAAAGATGAACACATCAAAGAGCAAGAAGAAGCAAGAAGAGGCTGGTACAAAGTTTCTTGGGGTGAGAAGAAGGCCTTGGGGAAGATACGCAGCTGAGATTAGAGACCCAACAACTAAGGAGCGTCACTGGCTTGGCACTTTTGATACAGCCGAGGAAGCTGCCTTGGCATACGATAGAGCTGCTAGGTCCATGCGTGGCACTCGTGCCCGAACCAACTTTGTCTACTCAGACATGCCTCCTTCCTCCTCAGTCACCTCCATTATCTCTCCTGACGATCCGCCTCCTCCTCCTCCTCCTCCGGCTCCTGCAACTACTCCTCCTTGTTCTAATGATCCTGTCGATTACATGATGATGTTTAACCAATATTCATCCACAGACTTGCCAATGGTGCAGCCTGATCAAGTGGAGAGTAGTTACATGTTTGGTGGCTCTCCTTCTTGTTATTCTAACAGCAGCAGCGAGCTGCCTCCTCTGCCGAGCGACCTATCAAATTCTTGTTACAGCCAACAACCGTGGAGCGTGGAAGACTACTCATCCGCTAGCTATTTCGAGGGTGACTATGTTCACAGTCCAATGTTCAGCACAATGCCTTCTGTTTCTGACTCTTTGCCTCAAGGTTTCAACCACTTCGGCTCATATAATTAACCTCTTCTCATATATATATTCTATTCTTTTCTCATTTGTATCCTTTCTATATCATTATATGTGTTGCCGTCCTTGATCTCTGTCTAAAGATCAAAGTGACTGCTTGTATTAGTTTTTCAATAATAAGTTATCTCCTCTTCTATCTTTTAACAAATGAAAAGCAAATCCACATACATCTTAAATATTGGCCCTTAAATTCAGAAGCCCATTCACGAAGATGCCTGATGGGCTATGGGCTTGACATAACATACTCTTTAGCCACAAAATTCATGTTCATTTTCCTATGGTAGGACTAGATTTATAGGTTGACATGCAACTATATTTGTGTTTTTTTATGGTGTATATATATGCTCATGTAATCTGGAAGATTTCATATTTATGGGTTCTGGTAAGTTTCCTGCTTTTCGGTCGTTAAAAGATGGTAGTAGGTTTGACCAGTAAACCATGTTTACCTATCTCAAAAAGCTGGTTACCCAACATAATTAAAAAAACAAGTACATATAAGTGGTTGTTATAAGACGTAATTAAAGTGGTAAAATATGGAGCTGAAGGTTTTCTCTTTTTATGCCATTGCAACTGCACTTATAGTCTTATAGTTGTAGCCAACTTTGGGATTATGCACACAAGTGGGCAGAGCGTTTCGTGCTTGAACCAACTTGCTTCATGCCTGAATTACCTCAAAGGAACTAAGGATGTGCCTCGAATTTGCTTGAACCTCTCAAAGCAGTGATAAGGAACAAACCAGAATGCAGAGATTGGTTCTCAATTATATGAAAAGGTCCAGGGGAGATTTTTATGAAATTAACCTCACATAGAGCTTTCTAAACATTGTTCAATATGATTTTTGTGTTCTTCTATTACAGTGGTAAGCTGTAACAAACCCTAACCAAAGAATGAATCTAAGGTCCCCTTTAACAAATTTTCACTCTCAATTAATCCTCTATGCTTCAATCTCCACCGGAACACTTCGATCCAACAAACGATGTCACCACACATCACATTGCAGCAGAAGACAAGAAGATATCCAGTGGAATATTCAAAGATTGATGTAAAGCTGGACCCCAAGGAAGTAACAATTTCCCTCAATTCAATTGTCCTAACATTGCCCAAGAACATAAATAATTGAAACTTTTTTTTTGTTTTTTTAACAAGAATCTAAAAACCCAAAACCAAGTTAATACTGCAATTGTTGCATAATGGATGGTTTAACGCAACATCGATCGAAGTTATGTTGATCATCATATGAAGACTCTTTAACTTTCTTGTTGATTATATCCACTGCATGAAGACGGAGACCAAGTGTCATCTTGACTAAATTTGGGAATGTAACAAAGATTGCTATCTTGACTAGTCACTTTAACTCCCATAGTTGTTTGACCATCTTAGCTTAATGAGTTTAAATGGTCTGGTAATTTAATTCAATGTTCAAATGAAACTCTTGCCAAAAACAAATTTACGAGAAAGAAAACCTTGAACAATTCCAAGAAAACTTAGAAGACCACCCTGATCCTAAAACTTCACTTCTTAAATTACTAGCCCAAACCCAAATCACAAAGGGACAACAAAATAAAACCGACACGCAGTCGAGAACATAATAACCAGAATTTCTTGACCATACAATTTTGCTATTTTAATAGTCAAACTTGTAAAACGAGAGATTACTAAATTTACTCCCCCTCACTATCTCTGATTCAGCACTATGATGATTAACCTAATCAATTTTTTTGTTCTTAAACCCCCAAAAGATTAAAAAACAACAAAATAAAAGGAGAAGAAAATTCATAACCAACACAAAAGAACAAAGAAACGTTGTTCACATTCACAGCTACGGTGGTCTTTGAGCCAGGTTTGTTCCTTCAGATTTACATGGAGAAACTTATGAGGACAGTCTCAAAATCGTCTCCAAAGTCATACCTTTGCATTTCCCTTCCGACCTGACATAAAATCTTCAACGGTTGAATCTCAGAAACTTAGGTTTCCAGGACATAGCAGGCTATTAAACAAGGCATTAAGTTACCGTTCCCAAGTATAAAGGATCACATGACAAGCTCTCATCCATAGTTATGAGATTCTTCAGCCCAATTGTCCTGGAAATCATATAAACGCAAGAGCTTAGCATGATGCTACTACTCTAATCAAGCCAAACAATTCATTTCTCTATCAATTTGATTCCATGTGACAGCAAAGTACTAGGTTTGTAGACACACTTTTGAATGACATAATCCATTATCTCAATCATCTCACTGGTTTTGTATTGCTCAGGGTCCTCCAAGAATCTGACCATTCCATCTTTCTGGTTGATAAGGGCATGTATCTGACCATCCTGGATCTGCAACTTCGTAAAGAAAACATCATATTGTCAATAACAGTTATAGTAATAAAGCTATCTTCCAAAAAAAAAATCAAGTGTGGGACACACAGAAGACATTACCATCTGAAGCACATGCATTTCCGCCTTCTTAGCATTAGCAATTGGACCATGCTGGCTATATCTTGAAGCAGGTCCAGTACTTCATCATCGATATGCCTTTCAGAAGCTGGTGTAGTCCTTCTAGGTGTTCTGTAATGGATTAGTCAAGAGATTGGATTCAGAAAAGACTTGAGAAAAGTAAGTATTGGAAACAAGAAACCAGAACACTTACGTGCAATAGCCGTTGTTTCCCCTCCAAGCTCATGAGCAGTTCTGAACACATAGAGTTTTGTTTCCCGTAAGAACAAGGCTAAACTTGGACTATGACCACTAGATAAGAATGACAAAAAAAAAGCATGCCAAAACATTGCTTTATCTCACCTTAAATAGAGTTCCTTAATAAAGCTCAGTTCTTCAATACTTTCTACCTTTGTGACACCACAAGTCATAGCCTTCTCTCCAGCCTAATGAAACCCAAAGGACAAGTTAAATAACTCACTCTACCAACAAAAGATTCTTGTCCTAAAAATGGAGTGAGTGAAGCACGGTCAATGCAAGTTATATGGTGAATAAAGATTTAATATCAAAACTACAGTGAGACTAACATTATGAATCAAAGTCATGTAATACGATAGCTTCCACGCCAAACAAACAAAAACAAACAACTAGATAAACAAAATATCGAAACATCAACGCAGCCTTACCTGTGCAGACTGAATTAGAGTCACCAGTGTGTACTTTGTATACGCCTCAAGAGCTGTGGCGGTGACAAGTTGCATCGGAGCAGTGACAACCTGGAAAAAAAAAGCACTTCGATCAAGTTAAGTACAAGAACACAAAGCAGGTATCTTTATGGTGGAATCTACCTAAATAATTTTCCCAATCAGAGAATTTACTGAGAAAAGGTTTGTAAGTAAGAGCATCGAACAACCGAACCACAAGGAGGTTCGTAAGAAGGATCATTTATAAAATCATCGACAGATTCATCGCTACTACTTTCCCCGCCTTCCTCCTCAAGCTCTTCCTCCCCCTTGGCCGCATCGGCTTCTTCATCTTGATCCTCGTCCTCGTCTTCCTCTTCGGCATCGGCAACCGCGGAGGAATCTCTCTCCTATAGAGGACCAAGGCCACGTCCGGGTCGTTATTGTGATGGTGCGTCCAACACCAGAAGAGTCCACCGGCCTCGTCTTGAGCCGAAAGATTCTCCACTATGTAGCCAATGTCCACTCCCGATTTTTGGAGACGACAATTAAGATGTCTTTCTTCGTTTACAGGTATCCAATTGTACTCATCGGAAAACCTAGAGGATTGGAGATAGAGGAAGAGACCTTCTCTATAGGGGGGCCCAGGGCAGAACAGCTCGACGGTGACATCAAAAGGCGGTTTCGACAGAAACTGCCTATGCAATAAGGGATTGACTCCTCAGGCTCTTCCTTCCCCTCCCCCGCGTCCTCCCCCTCGGCCGCATCGGCCTCTTCCTCTTGATCCTCGTCCTTGTCCTCGTCTTCCTCTTCGGCATCGGAAACCGGCGGAGAAATCTCTCTCATGTAGTGGACCAAGGCCACGCCCGGGTCATTATTGTGATGGTTCGTACGACGCCAGAAGAGTCCACCGGACTTGTCTTGAACCACAAGATTCACCATTGTGTTGCCAATGTCCACTCCCAATTTTTGGGGATGACAATTAAGACGTCTTTCTTCGTTATAGGTATCCAATTGTACTCATCAAAAAATTTTAGGGGAGTGGAGATAGAGGAAGAGACATTCTCTATAGGGGGCCCATGGCCGAACAGCTCGACGGTGACATCAAAAGGCGGATTCGGCAGAAGCTGCCTCTGGAATAGGGCATTGACTCCTCAGGCTCTTCCTCCCCCTCCGCCGCGTTTTCCCCCTCCGCTGCATCGGCTTCTTCCTCTTGATCCTCCTCCTCGTCTTCCTCTTCGGCATCGGCAATCAGCGGACGAATCTCTCTCCTGTAGTGAACGAAGGCCATATCCGGGTCGTTATTGTGATGGTGCGTCCGACGCCAGAAGAATCCACCGGCCTCGTCTTGAGCCACAAGATTCACCACTATGTTGCCAATGTCCACTCTCGATTTTTGGGGACGAAAATTAAGACATCTTTCTTCTTTTACAGGTATCCAATTGTACTCATCGAAAAACCTAGGGGATTAGAGATAGAAGAAGAGATCTTCTCTATAGGGGGCACATGAACGAACAGCTCGACGATGACATCGAAAGGTGGATTCGGCAGAAACTGCCTCTGGAATAGAGCATTGACTCCTCATGCTCTTCCTCCCTCTACGCCGCATCCTCCCCCTCGGCCAAATCAGCTTCTTCCTCTTGATCCTCGTCGTCGTCTTCCTCTTCGGCATCGGCAACCGGCGGAGGAATCTCTCTCCTGTAGTGAACCAAGACCACGTCCGGGTTGTTATTGTGATGGTGCGTCCGGCGCCAGATAAGTCCACCGGCCTCGTCTTAAACCACAAGATTCGCCACTGTGTAGCAAATGTCCACTCCCAATTTTCGGGGACGACAATAAAGACGTCTTTCTTCGTTTACAGGTATCCAATTGTACTCATTGGAAAACCTAGGGGATTGGAGATAGAGGAATAGACCTTCTCTATAGGGGGCCAAAGGCCGAACAGCTCGACGGTGACATCGAAAGGCAGATTTGGCAGATACTGCCTCTGGAATAGGGCATTGACTCTTCAGGTTCTTCCTCCCCCTCCGCCGCGTCCTCCCCCTCAGCCGCATTGGCTTCTTCCTCTTGATCCTCGTCTTCCTCTTCAGCATCGGCAACCGGCGAAGGAATCTCTCTTCTGTAGTGGACCAAGGCCTCGTCCGGGTCGTTATTGTGATGGTGTGTCTGATGCCAGAAGAGTCCACCGGCCTCGTCTTGAGCCACAAGATTCACCACTATGTTTCCAATGTGCACTCCTTCAGGGACGACAATTAAGACATCTTTCTTCTTTTACAGGTATCTAATTGTACTCATCGAAAAACCTAGAGGATTGGAGATAGAAGAAGAGACCTTCTCTATAGGTGGCCCAGGGCCGAACAGCTCTTCTCTATAGGTGGCCCAGGGCCGAACAGCTCGACGGTGACATCGAAAGGTGGATTCGGCAGAAACTGCCCCTGGAATAGGGCATTGACTCCTCAGGCTCTTCCTCCCCCTCTGCCGCGTCCTCCCCTCGGTCAAATCAGCTTCTTCCTCTTGATCCTCGTCGTCGTCTTCCTCTTCGGCATCGGCAACCGGCAGAGGAATCTCTCTCATGTAGTGGACCAAGGCCACGTCTGGGTTGTTATTGTGATGGTGCATCCGGCGCCAGATAAGTCCACCGGCCTCGTCTTAAACCACAAGATTCGCCAGTGTGTAGCCAATCTCCACTCCCAGTTTTCGGGGATGACAATAAAGACGTCTTTCTTCGTTTACAGGTATCCAATTGTACTCATTGGAAAACCTAGGGGATTGGATATAGAGGAAGAGACCTTCTCTATAGGGGGCCCAAGGCCGAATAGCTCGACGATGTCATCGAAAGGTGGATTTGGCAGAAACTGCCTCTGGAATAGGGCATTGACTCCTCAGGCTCTTACTCCCCCTCCGACGCGTCCTCCCCTTCGGCTGCATCGGCTTCTTCTTCTTGATCCTTGTCCTCATCGGCATCGGCAACCGGCGGAGGAATCTCTCTACTGTAGTGGTCCAAGGCCACGTCTGGGTTGTTATTGTGATGGTGCGTCCGGCGCCAGATAAGTCCACCGGCCTCGTCTTAAACCACAAGATTCACCACTGTGTAGCCAATGTCCACTCCCAATTTTCGGGGACGACAATTAAGACGTCTTTCTCCGTTTATAGGTATCCAATTGTATTGATCGGAAAAACTAAGGGATTGGAGATAGAGGAAGAGACGTTGTCTATAGGGGTGCCCAGGGCCGAACAGTTCGACTGTGACATTGAAAGGTGGATTCGGCAGAAACTGCCTCTGGAATAGGGCATTGACTCCTCAGGCTCTTCCTCCCCCTCCGCCGTGTCCTCCCCCTCAGCCGCATCGGCTTCTTCCTCCTGATCCGCGTCGTCATCTTCCTCTTCGGCATCGGCAACCGGCGGAGGAATCTATCTCTTGTAGTGGACCAAGGCCACGTCCGGATCGTTATTGTGATGGTGCGTCTGACGCAAGAAGAGTCCACAAGATTCGTCACTGTGTTGCCAATGTCCACTCCCAATTTTCGAGGATGACAATTAAGACATCTTTCTTCTTTTACAGGTATCCAATTGTACTCATCGGAAAACCTAGGGGATTGGAGATAGAGAAAGAGATCTTATCTATAGGGGGCCCAGGGCCGAACAGCTCGACGATCAGATCGAAAGGCGGATTTGGTAGAAACTGCCTCTGGAATAGGGCATTGACTCCTCAGGCTCTTCCTCCCCCCCTCCGCCGCGTCCTTCCCTCGGCCGCATCGGCTTCTTCCTCTTGATCCTTGTCGTCGTTTTCCTCTTCGGCATCGGCAACCGGCGGAGGAATCTCTCTCCTGTAGTGGACCAATGCCACGTCCGGGTCGTTATTGTGATGGTGTGTGCGGCGCCAGATGAGTCCACCGACCTCGTCTTGAGCCACAAGATTTGCCACTGTGTAGTCAATGTCCACTCCCAATTTTCAGGAACGACAATTAAGACATCTTTCTTCGTTTACAGGTATCCAATTGTAGTCATCGGAAAACCTAATAGATTGGAGATAAAGGAAGAGACCTTTTCTATAGGGGGTCCAGGGCCGAACAGCTCGACAGTAACATCGAAAGACGGATTTGGCAGAAACTACCTCTGAAATAGGGCATTGACTCCTCAGGCTCTTCCTCCCCCTCCGCCGCGTCCTCCCCTTGACCGCATCGGCTTCTTCCTCTTGATCTTCGTCCTCGTCTTCCTCTTCTGCATCGGCAACTGGTGGAGGAATCTCTCTTATAGTGGACTAAGGCCACGTTCGGGTGGTTTTTTTTTTAAAGTTGCTTATAAGTTACACAACGCATGGCATGAGCTATAGTCTTACATAAAATACACACAATATAATGCACTATAACTTCCCAATAAGCAGCCTATATACATTGCCAGTACAGAACATCAATACATAAACTTATAAACGTAGGTAATGGACAATATGTTTATAAGAATGCCAATTTATTAGGGTTTAGGTCAAGAACCCTACCTAACCCTTTTTTGCACTCCTCACTGCCGTAACAGAGTGAGTCCGGCATTTATTAAACAGTTATCGACCGTTGTATGTAATTTCATTGAGCAAATGGAGATATACGTATGGCATATTGCAATTCCTAAATATTATATCAGTTCTATGGAAATTAAATGGAAGGGTGCTCTACTCAGTCTACGGTTCTTTATTTTTCTTACTCAAGTTATAATGTCGAACTACTTCGTGATGTAAGTAATTTGATGATCAATTATTTATCTGTGTAGAAAAGAAAGAAAGAAGACAAGATAATGCATGGGCGCCCAACGTGGAAAGGCATTCTCTTGGACGCTTAACATAATTAACCCCTTTTCTAATTATCACCTACACAATTATCTTTTGTCTTATTCAAATCTAACTATTTTTTAATCAAGCGACCATGTGATGAGCGCACTAAGTAGATTCTTAATTTCAACCACATCAAAAAGGTAAAAGAAGAAACAAAAGAAGTCTGCTTTTGACGCTATTTAACCAATGGCTGATTCTCTGTTTCACTGTTGAACGACGCCGTGTCATCTCAACCAAATAGCTAGGTTCTCTCAATTGGGTTAATATGTACAGTAAAACCTCTATAAATTAATAATGTTGGGACTTTGAAATTTTATTAATTTATAGAGATATTAATTTACGAAAGTTTTCTTATTTAGATTTTTTATAGTTTTTTCCATTTTTATTTATAAAATAAAAAAATATATTTAATTTTAGCATATGTACTTTAGTTAAATTTTAGAAATTTGACTTTTATAATGTTATATTATCTTATTTGGTGTATATTTTTATATTTTATAGAATTGTTACATGGTTTTCGATATAATTTAACTAAATATTATCAAAATATATTGAAATATTTAAAAAATAAAATTATTTTTATAGTAAATATAAAACCCCTAACTAAATATTATCAAAATATATTGAAATATTTAAAAAATAAAAATATTTTTATATTTAATATAAAACCAACAAGATAATGTTAGATTGTACTTATATAAAATTATATATAGCTAGATTATTATTTTATGATTTTAGTGGGACCATATATTTACATGGCAGTTTTTAAAATATTATTATCTTATTATTTTATCGATTTGTGTCATATTTTACACCGGCCCAAGTTGGGACTGGTGAAATTTATTAATTTATAGAGATTATTAATTTATCGAGTATTAATTTATAGAGGTTCTACTGTACATTCTTTATCAGATTCTACACTACTGTGTTACGAGGTATGTTCAATCTGGTATTGGGTACGATTTCGGTTCGTTTTTTTCGGTTTTCAGTTATTCAGTTTAAAAAAATTAGCTACCATATTGGAACCATATTTAATTTGGTTCGGTTCGGTATTTATACTACTGGTTTTCGGTTTATTCGGTTTTATACCAAATAACATTATTATATGATTTGGTTTCATATTATATGAATTTTTAAAAAAACATATTGTCAAAACTATCATTTACTAAAATAATCCTAGGTGTTCATAAATATAAAAATGTGAAATTAATAACAAACACAACGACCAACGATTCAGTTTTGTACAACTTTTCTTATCTTCTCTTTGTTCTTCCAAATAAATTACATGGTACAATCTAATTTCACAATTTCTTACAACATGCAAAATCAAGTCAAATTTAGATAATAGTTGAAGAAAATAAAATAATTAAGATATATCTTCACAAGGAATAAAAAGGTAAAAAAAAAAGACTATTCCAAAAAAATAAATGGTTATATAATGTATATATTTATATTTTTTTTCTTTGATCGGTTTCTTCGGTTTAATCGGTTATAAACCTAACCATATCCAAATCCTACGGTTTTTATAAAATCATATCCATTCGGTTTATATGATATATACCAAATTCGAACCATATTATTTTTTTCGGTTCAGTTTGGTTTGGTACGGTTCGATATTACCCTGTTGAACAATCCTAGTTACTTCCCCCATTGGGCTTTCTAGTTAAAGAATGGACCACAAAAAAGACTATTTAATTTACTTTTTTATCTTATTTCAATTTTTTTTCTGACTTTTAAACGTAAAAGCATAAAGATTACTTGCGCCTTCGTGTAAGTCAATGTCCTCCTCCCTCCGCATTGATCAAATCGTCTTTTAAATGGCACCTCCTCCTCCTCCTGATCCGGCGAAGATGCAACAAATCCAACACTTCCTCACCTCCGTCCTCTCCCAACGCGGCCCCACCTCCCTCCCATACGCCGAAACCACCAAATGGCTAATCCGCCAACACCTCCTCAACCTAATCACCTCCTACTCCTCCCTCGACCCCAAAACGGCGCCGTTCACTCACAACGACGGACGCTCCGCGATCCTCCTCCAAGCGGAAGGCACGATCCCCATGCCTTTCCAGGGAGTCAGTTACAACATCCCCGTCGTCATCTGGCTCCTCGAATCCTACCCTAACGATCCCCCTCGCGTCTACGTGAACCCCACGCGCGACATGATCATCAAACGTCCTCACTCCAACGTCTCCCCCTCTGGCCTCGTCTCTCTCCCTTATCTCCAGGCCTGGGTTTACCCTAGCTCTAACCTCCTCGATCTCGCCGCTCACCTCTCCGCCGCCTTCTCCCGAGATCCGCCGCTCTACTCTCAGCGCCGTCCTCAATCGTCTCCTTCGATCGGATCTCCGTCGATCGGATCTGGATTTTCGCGGCCTTCTCCGTCGCCTCCGATCGGATCTGGTTACTCGCCATCTCCGTCGATCGGATCTGGTTACTCGCCGTCTCCTTCGCCGTCGCCTCCGATCGGATCTGGTTACTCGCCGTCTCCGTCGATCGGATCTGGTTATTCGCAACCATCGCCGTCTCCTCCGATCGGATCTGGCTACGCGCGGCCTCCTCCGTCGTCGTTTAACCACCAGCAACAGTATCAGCAGCATCAGCACCAGCAGACGGAGGATGCGGCGGAGGTATACAAGAGAAACGCGGTAAACAAACTAGTGGAGACGATCCACGTGGATCTCGTCATGATGAGAACCGCGAGAGAAGCGGAAGCGGAAGGGCTAATCACTTTACAAGCGACTCTCAAGAGGAGGGAGGAAGAGTTAACCAGAGGTTTACATGAAATGGTGAGCGAGAAAGAGACTCTAGAGCAGGAGCTGCAGATCATCTCCATGAACACGGACGTTCTTGAATCTTGGGTTAGGGAGAATCAAGGCAAATCCGAGAATCTGATTGTGGATTTGGATGTTGTTGGATTTGATAGTGCGTTTGTGTGTATGGAGACGTTGTCTAGACAGATGTTGGAGTGTACGGCGTCGGATTTAGCTGTTGAGGATGCTGTTTATGCGATGGATAAGTCGTTTCGTGATGGGGTGTTGAGTTTTGATCAGTATTTGAGGAGTGTGAGGTTGTTGTCGAGGGAGCAGTTTTTTTACAGAGCTATGGGGGAGAAGGTTAGAGGGATGCAGATGGAAGCTCAGGTTGGTTCTATTGCAGCTAGGTTGCAGTTGTAATAAGAACATTGGCAAGGTTTTGATATTTTTGATTACTGTTTATAGGCATGTATTAGACTACATAGTTGAATTGATATCTTACTTTGGGTTACCATTCTCTCTGTCGTTTTTTTTTTTGAAATAATGAATCAAGTGGTAGTTTGGAAGTGTGTATGTTTCTTGAGAAAATGTTGGAGCAAGAGCGGACTATTAAACTCTGAAATATGAAAAATGAGTCCAAACTTATGGTGGGTGTATATGCATGGAGTCATGATGGCAGAGACACTTAAAAGATTTTGGATATAGGTGGTAAGTTCCATGATGGCAGAGACTATATATCTCCATCAGCGGCCTTGAGAACTTTAACTGTATGCGGCTTAGACACTCCTGCTTGAGTCATCACTAGCTCGATGTCCTTTGGTTCGACACTTTCCTATCATGTTCTGGTTAACAAAACGTAGAGAGCCATAATGTATCAGCTTATAAGAAATTATACCTAGTTCCTTAAACTATAGTATAGTATCAGCAAAACAAGCATAAAAATTCACAAATCACCAGCATCTATATATAATACACAAAATAAATGTTTGATAACTCCGCCGTCTGTGGGGATCGAACCCACGGCCACGGGATTAAAAGTCACGCGCTCTACCACTGAGCTAAGACGGCTATGTTCAAGTGTTACGTTGTTTGTTATTTATCGTCATGGATCTAAGTGTATGACATGGATATTTGCATTGCACCTAATTCCACTTTATTTTTTGTTTGCCTACTTGTTAATTGTCTGTGGGATAGGTCATCTTGAACCTAACCTGTTCACTGCTCTACAATTTCATGAGTGACTAGCGATTGATATTGTGATAAGAACAAAAGCTTTAAACTGCTTTTCTTACTTCTAAGTAACCGGTCTCTAACCAATACAATTTCAAACACCTCTACATTCAGGTCCTAGGCTTACATATATAGATTATGCCTATATAGCTAAGAATTGAGCCGCTGAACTTATTTAAAACTTACATTTATTGGTATGAAACGATCATGTACACCAAATTGTGAAGCTGACTTAGCATGTATCGGCAGTTAAGGCCATAGCATAATCTCCTCATCAGAGCAGGCTCCTTTCTTCAAGAGGCGGAGCCGCAGACACATGCATTAGATTCTGGAACACTACACGACCAATGGACAACAGTGACACAGACATTTAAACAATCTGCATTAATTCTGGTTATTTTATTTTTTCTGATGTTTTGTAAATTACATTATCTCACATGCATCTATAAAAAGAGTTTCCAACTTGGATTTTCAATGTCTATTAAAGGCATTTTATCAACGAAAGCCCTGAAAAATCAAAGATATTTCTCGAGAGGATGATCTTGTAGCTTTGGGCTTCAAACAAGATGTCTTGTTAAAAATGGGCTTGCAAATCCAAGCAAAATCTAAAGCCAAAAGAAATCGTGTGTACAATATGTTTTGCAACAGTACTGGCTGTCTGGAGAAAAGTTTCTCGATTAGTTATATAATTTTTAAACATAAAATGATTTCTTTCAGTTTAAAATTAAACTTTGTAGTATTTCAACGTGATATAACACGATATATAGGCGAATACGGATGAAAAAGTTGGATTTCCTGTCATTCTTGATATTGTAACCTTTGAACACACAAAAAAAATCATGTTAATATTACCTTAAAATACGAAATAAGAACATTGTTAATAATATCTGCTAATAATACCTTTAAAATAAAAAATGCTAGATCTTTTTTATTCAATTTTAATGAAAAAGATACAAATCGATCTTATTAAAGTAAAAACATTGTGTTAGACCAAACCTTTATTTTGTAAGTTTTTAAATTAAATACACATATTTTATAGTTAAATTTACATTAAATCATTAATATTCTTTTTTATATATTATTATCCATGTTTCTATACAATATATTTCTTTCTTTATATTATTATCATCCATGTTTCCATACATTATATTCATTTCTTTATACTACGATCAATGTTTCCAAACAACACTATAAATAATCATGTATCCAAACAATACAAAATATTATCTCTTCTTTTTAAATAAATTCTAACAATTTTCTTTCAAGTTATTTACATAAATTAAATAATTTAAAATCAAATAATTTTAAAAGCACAAAAAAATAAATAGAACTGAATTTTATAGGTTTAAATATTACATATCGGTTGGTCTCAGTAGTTAGTGATTTTATTAATATAGATATTTTTAAAAATTTAAATCGAATTACTGGATTAGCCAGTCAAACTGCGGGCTCGGATTGAGTTTTTAAAAAAATTAACTAATTAAACTACAGGCTCATATCGAATTTAAAAAACTGATTTAAATACAAAACTCTTTTAAATACACAATTTTCAAATTAACAAAATATATATTAATTATTAGTGAAATTTTCATCATAAAATGCGTGTGCAAAACGTGGATCAAAATCTAGTAACAATTAAAATCTATCCTCGTTAATGGATATTAATTGTTTTGTTTTAAGAGAATAAAGTTAAAATTTGTTTTTGGAAAAGAATCTTCTAATACTGCATGTCACTTGTCGCGGATATAATACCTTGTATGATACGATGACGGAGGTACACACATGTCGAGCACAATAACACATCGAGTGAATTTGATAAATCTCTCTTTTTATATATAAGAAGACGTTCATTAAGTATCAAGCACAAAAGGATAACAAAAGACAAAGAAGAATCTATGGAGAAGGGTGAAGGTAGCAGCAGCCCTAGAGGCCGTCCAAAGAGGTCTCACATCAGAAAAACGGAGGTCATCAGTTACGAGAAAAGCGTCGTGCAACTTTCAAAAGAAGGGAGGCAGACACATTTGGTTGTGGACCGAGCCCGTAAAACGCCACTGAACACACATGGTCGATCTTACTCTACTGTCTTTGATAACACCTCTCCTCAATACAACTGGCTTCGCAGTGGTTGGATCGTTGAAGAGCGTCGCATAATGCTGACCGGTCGACTTTACCGGGTAAATCTCTTTTCCTTAGATCTCTATATATCTTATGTGTTGATAGTGAGTAGTTTATTTGTTATTTTTAAGTGGAGCAAAGCTATGGATTGATTTCTAGTATAACAAATCTTTCTTATTGCCACTTTGAAATCTACATGTATTGTTTCTCTCACTTTTTTACTCCATATCTGAAGTTTTTCATATCCAAACACGTCTTCATCATTTCATATAATTTTTTTTTGTAGTACTATTACGATCCAATCGGGCAAGTATACGGTACAAGGTACGAAGTGGAGCAGATATGGGCATACATTGACATGAATAAGAACAAAAAGAAGCACGAGGTCATCATCATCGACTAGTAATCTGCTATGTATTTGATGGCCTTTCCATTTAAGCTATATTTTAAATAAAATAAAAGGTTCAATTCCAAGGTACCCTGGACAAAATGGAAATGACCTGTGTGTTTTAATTTAAGGACTAATTAAGCCTTTTTCGTTGTTGTTTAATCTATGGAACAATCGAGTATTTTCCGTTGCTGTTTCTGTTGTTTGCCAAAATTGATTTTAATAAGTGAGAAATTTAAATATCTTATTCAAGAACACTATTATGGCTTATATCAGTTCCGTAGAGTTTTGATCCGCGTACATGCGTAAATAGTTTTAAACCAATTTGTAAAATCATGTTTCTCGATTTTTCTCGTTGTGTCGTAAACCAAAACTGTAAAGATGATTATACACGTACCTATTTCCTAATATTTTGTATAAACAGAAGTTTTTATGCTTCTAAATGTTTGTTTCCATGTGCTAACTTATGATTCCATGCATTCTATATTTTACAAGAATAATTTTCATTCTAGTTACTTTGAAATTCATGGTAAAGTTGACAAATGATATAGAACGCCAAACTGAGATAGCATCTAAGAGTATTTAGAGTCTCAATCTTATTTGCTTATATTTTCTGTAATAAATATGACATATATATGAAGGCTCTAATGTGTAACTGATGATAACATATAATATCTTGTAACTGATGTTATTTCTCTTTGCAACATAAAGTTTGAGACGGGTTTGTTTGTTAGAATTGAGAAAAAAAACAAATGAAGATGAAGATGAAGAACTCAATATTTGAAAATTTGGCCAATTATTTGGAATGCCAAACTTAGAATAACACAATGATACTTTTAGAGTGGCAAATCTCGTACTTTTTTTCTTCTCAATTTTAAGATTTCTACCAAAATAAACGTTTACAAGCTAAGCTCTCCATCAACTGTGTCAGGAGGTTTACAAACTGGAACCTTTGACAAAAACAATCAAATTATTCGATGGGAACAAAATGAGACGGTTCTGCATAGTGTGATAGATCATAGATGTTTGCTCTGATAGATGTAGCAGTAGCGGAATCATATGCAAGTGAGCCCCTGGAAATAACAACCACAAGGTATGGATTGACTTTGCAAAATCCAACTCGTAACATGGAAATCAAGTTATGTCAAATGATTTGATATTGATGATTATTTAACGAAACCATAAAAAGTAGTTGAAGTTTAAATGTTACAGTGCCATGGATTGAATGATGAACAACAAATAAAAGAATTTGTCTAAAGTTACATGTCAATATCAAAATAAAAATAAAAGAATGTTTTCATGGACCTATCATCAAATACCATTTACAGAAATCAAATCAATTAGATACTGAAATGAACAGATGTTAACATAAAAGTAACCAAAGTACATCTTCTGTTCTGCCAGCTATGATTAAAAATCTCAAAGTTGGAAAAAATAAAAGTATGCTTATGTTGGTTTGCCTTTGTACAGTTGCCCACATTGCTTCCTTAGTCTTCAAGTGAAAGTTACTGTAATTACCTTTCTCCATCTTTACATGGACGAACCTGATTCAACAACCACCATTGTTGCAGTCCCTTGAAGTTTCTCATTCTGTTTCAGTTGGTGCTGCTGTGACCAACACCTATGTGCTGCCAAGACTCTATCTAGCAGCTCTTGAGGCACTGGTTCTCCTCTTCGTTGCTGCGGTGTAATACTTGCCGTGTGAACCAAAGTTTTCCATTTATCCTGCAACAATCACAACGTTAGTTGAACCATTAAGCTAAGATTCGAAGTGTATTTGACCAGTTACTGCTATGTGTGTGTTTACCTTCAAGTCCACGTAGGTTCGATGACTTGCATTCTCAAAAGAACGTAATTTCACATCACGCCATCTGTGAGATAAGAGTAGTATCGAGATCATTAGTTGATCCACAACCAAGTTAACCATTATCAGCTGAATTGCTGCTTACCTTCCAGTACCAAGTTCCTCTACTGCATGTACTAGAGATTCAACCTCTGTAACAGAGAATGGTCTCCTGGTTCTGCGCTGTGAAATCTCTGTACTACGCTTAGGTTTCTCGTTAAGTGGGACAATTGCAAGAGCCTCCGGTTCCAAGGCTGAAACTAGAACCAACGCTCTTGAATCTGATGAAAGTTGTTGTTCTTCATCAACTGATATGTCACTCTGATATGGAACTAACTCCTGTTTATTCTCCACACATATTCCAGAGTTAATCACGTGATCTGCATCTTGGAGATGGAAAGGGATTCTAGAATCTAAAGCAGGAGATGCTGCGGACCTGGCAAAGATCAAATGATTATCCTTATGAATATACTCTCTAGAACTTCACACAGCAAGCAAACAAACAAAAAGAAATGATATACAAAGCAAATCGGTTACTACCTTTCTGACAAGTTCGTCGAATCAGTTGGCGTAGTAGAGATGACATGATTTTCAGAGCAGAGAGGTGCAGGCAGGTTTTCAGTGGGACCAGGTTCCAAGGTGAAGCCAAGGTTGCATAGATTTCCTCCTCTACATGAAAGAGCAGTCTGTGATAGAGTGTTATTGTCATCTCTAACCTTCTTCCCTTGGACTAACACCCCTATACGTATTCCATCACCGAGTAAAGCAGTGACAGCCTCCATCACCGTCCTCTGTAAAAACAATAGTGTTGGTGTCAATATCACTGACTAATGTTATGTTTATGAAGTAACACTTACACTGCAGAGCCAACAAAACCTTTAAAAAAGAGAGTGACAGGGAGAGACTAATCACACAGACCTTCAGTGAGCCTACGGTTGCTGTTTCTGGAACTTCAATAAAAAGCTCAGGAATCCTAAGTGACTTGATGCTGAATTTTACTACTGCAAACAGTAAAAAACAACATGAGAACCACATATCAAGTCACGGTCAAAAGGTGTGTGTGAATTATCAAGTCCTCTGAATCAAAAAATAAAACCCACTGCAGCCAGATAACAAAGCATGTACCTGATTCTCCCTTCTGAGGTGAGTTGGTAACACTTTCACTACTCAGTCCTCCATCAGAATTTACGACCAACCCTTTGTCAGACAATCTTCTCTTCCTATGAACAGTCTCACGCTTCCATGGGTTATAACCATGGCATAATTTTCTCTTGCGGTACAGAGACTTTAAACAGCCATCTAAGACAGATATCAGCAAGCGTAGTAAGAACATAGTAGAGCTACAAAGGATGCATCAAAGAGAATCTGATACTAACCTGTTCTTCTAGTGTCTTCAAAAAACTTGGACCTGGGGATTGCTCTCCCGTACTTTGTAATCACCGACTTCTTCATTCTTAGATGCCCAACACGTGTCAAAGGCCTATTACATCTGTCACTAAATCTATAGTACTTACAATAGTTTTCGTCATCATCATCTCTGCAAACTAACTTAGAATGATTCCTATATCCTTTCAAAGAGCCACCATCCGTGCCTGGTGGCATTTTTACACCGCCATCCAGGTGAAGTGATTCAGGAAACTGCAAATGACTTGGATCCTTCAGGCTGATGAAAGTATCAGCGCTTAAGCCAACACTCGCTTCTCCTTGTTCAAAGCCGGCATCTACACTAACAACACCCATCTCCTCACTCATGATGCCCACTGATTCAACATGAAAATCACAATCCTCTTTCTTGTTTTCACACCCTACAAGGGGCTTCAAACCAAGAGCTCTCCTCTTACAATCAGAAACAAGTGTCTGCTCCAAAATGCAATCATTTCCCAAATACTTCTCGCTGGTAATTTCACTAGGAGTCTTTGAAGCAAGGTCTCCTTGAAGAAGTGAAAGCTCAGATTTACAAGGCTTAACATCATCTTCAACATGTTCTTGCTTGACGTTTCCAACCAAATGATGCCTAACAAACGCATTGGTACTAGACGATGAGGAACTCTCGGTTTCTTCCAGCAACTTCCCAGCCAGAGAAGCGAGCAAATCAATTGCAGTGATCTCAATGTCCACATCAGCATCATCCTTCTCACTTGATACCTTCCTCTACAAGTCATGAGATTGTGTGAACTTAAAAACACATTGTGAAAGTAAAAACAGATCCAAATGAAGCACAGAGAATGGATCTTTACAATGGAACGAGGAGCCTTGGGAATAGTGGAGAAATCAAAACCGTTACAATGTAACTTCCTCTTCACCACCATCTCTCTCTCTCAAAACAAAGCTGTAAAGATTTAGAACGAATCTTTAGTCGCATGATCATATTCACCAAAGATCAAGAGTATTTTAAAAAAAAACTATTAAAGTATTAATCTATGGTTTATCATTTGTCAAAAAAAAAAAAAAAAAAAAAAATCTGTGGTTTATCGATACGACGTCGTAACTGGTAGAGGTTTATAAAATCTATACTATATAAAAGTTGAGGCTATAAACCATTGAGGACGTCCACATAGGATTTAAGTTCTCCAATCGTATAATGACACATCATTATATTAGTTTATTATTTTTATAAAATGTCATTATTTCCAAATTAAATAAAAAACGAAATTAATATTCCATATATAACTTAGATAACAAAATAAATACTAACATTTTAAAAATTAATTAAAAATGTTAACTGTTATAAAAAATGGAAATCAAAATTAAAAACGTAATATTAAAAAAACATTATTCTCTTTTTAGATATACTAAATGTAAAGTATCATTTTTATAAAATGTCAATGTTTCCAAATTATATTAAAAACGAAATTAACATTCCATATATAATTTAACTAAAAAATTAAATATTAAAATTTTACAACTTACTTAAAATGTTAACTGTTANGTTAACTGTTAGAAAAAAATGGAAAAAAATATTGACAAAACATTATTGTCTTTTTATATATACTAAATATAAAGTATATTTTATACAAAAATAAAATAATAATCTAATAGTAAAATAGTAAAGTAACAAAAATCATCTTACAAAAATAAAATAAATTTAATTTTTTTTAAATATCACTGTTTCCAAATTAGTTTAATTAGAAAAATATTATCTAATAAAGCAGGTTATTAATATAGAATATTAGTTTTAAAATGTTAAGATTTCTAAATTTATATATTAGGATTTCCAAATTTCTCTATATTAACATAAAATGGAATAAAGCAAATTATTAATATAAATTATTAGTTTTTAAATTGTCAAGATTTCCAAATTTAAATGTCTGGATTTCCAAATTTTTGTATATTAACATAAAATAGAATAAAGCAGGTTATTAATATAGATTATTAGTTTTAAAATGTTAAGATTTCCAAATTTA